CGGATTTGGCAACAACAGAGCCTGCTGGTAATCTCCTCTCCAAATCCTCACTCTGATCCCCTTTTATCTTCCCCGCCTGGTAGGCAGGCCTTCAGGCCATTTATGAGTTCAGCAGCTGATGGGAGTTGAACCCACATCCTTGTTGCCCATGTTATCTTGGTAACTGAGTTTGAACTGGGTTAGGAAGAGTCTTCTAGACACAAACCTGGCTTAATTCAGTTAGGAAAAATAAGCAAACTCTCCATGATAACTAAAATTAAAAAATATATAAATATGTCATCAAAATTAAGTCACTGCAACACGTTTATCTTCTCTGGCAGGTAATCCAGCACTTAGAGTTTGATTTGGCCATAAAAACAAGTCTGCACAAAATCAGTCTGAAACTGTCATAAAACGAAATGAACTTTAAAACTGTATCAAATTCACACCGCGAACTTTTCCTTTAAAAGTGCTATTTATAGGCTTGGTGCCAACCCTGTAAGTGCAGTCTGAAGCAAACATTTCCTTTGCACATTTTCACGAGGTGCCTCTGATTATGTTGACCAGAGAGTAGATAGGATACTGGTTTGTTTTAAAGTTTTGTAGCAGAGGTCCAGGTTTGAGCATAGCTGTGGTTAGATGTGCCTGGCAGACTCTTGGGGGGTCAGCCTGCCCGGAGTCTGTGGGCATGAGACACCATGACGCCTCCCAGGAGAGAAATTGTCTTCAGGGAGGGAAGTGTCAGGCAGACAAGCTTAAACCTGTAATGAAGCCTCAGCCATCACATGAGAAGGACGATTCTGAGCACAGCATGATGGTGCCATTTAGGTCTGTCCCCTTAGGGACTCAGGTCTGAATCCTCGGGAGGAGGGGGCTGCAAAGAAACTGAAAGAGCTATTTTCACTAAAATCTTCTGAGACACGGAAGATTCAGATGACCTGAATATCCCCAAACCTCAGTTGCTCCCTGTGTCTCCCTGGCTGGAAAAAGCAGCAGCACTTCCTCTGTCTCTTGAGACTGAAACAATCTTGCTTGAAGACAGCCTAGTTACCCCAAATTGGGATAGTTACCCTGCAAGGGGATGACAGTTCTCCCATGTCCCCACCTTACCAAGCATCATTGCCTCTAGACCTGTATCCAGCACTGGACCTCAGTGGCCTCCGTGGGGCCAATTACAAAATCAGATCCAACATAAGAAGTCTCTCACAGAAAAGAACTGCACGATTTTGAGGAATATGTGCCTGAATGGATACTAAGGGTGTTATAGTAGGTAAGGAGGAAGGTAGACTGGGCCTGTGTGCACTTACCAGATATTCTGGGTTCTGTTTGCTTGGTCTGTTGACTCAAAACTGGCTTCAGTGTCCCCAGTGTTGAAAGAAGTTGAGAGGCCGGAGAGTCATTGGTATAACACAGTAGAAGGAACCCAAAGATTTAGGGAGAGAGGAAGTCGAAGTGGATTTATATGTAGTTACTGTTCATCCACCTTAACTAGAGAGCTTCCCAACCACCTCTAGGTGTCCCAGAGAATATTCCTTTCCTTAATATATTGAGAAAGTATATCAGCATTCTTGCTAAGTGCCAAGGAGTTGTTCTCTGTAGGCTGGCGATGAATATGGTAATGCTACTCTTGAAATGGACTTCTTAGTTGCCACAGTGATTATATGCTGCCAGGATGGCAGAGGCAATGTGCAATATATGACTTCAAGAGACAAGGTGGGCATGGCATCATGACAGACACCTCGGCCAGAGTGGTGATCCAAGAGGGGTGACCCGCAGAAAGCTTTGGTGGTGCCTAATGGATCACAGAGATCTTAGGACTGAAATAGGTAGTTTACTAATTCTTGCTTGATCTGTAGAGCTGAAAAACTTCACAGATTTGGCAAATAGACTCACCCCATATAGAGACCAAGCCACTAACAAAATTCTAAGACTTGAGGCAATTCCTAGACCGAGTAACTCTGAAAGAAGAAGAGGTTTGAAATCTTTGAGATCACACCTTCTAGACCCTAGCCTTCCCCAGGGGTCTTGTAGCCATTTACTAGAATTACTTTGCTCAAAGAGAGAGATCCCAAATTCTTCACACTTTGGATGGTGGCCTATCTCTGAAACTCCACTGGCATGATACTACTTTTGGTTTACTTTGTTAGAGAGAGGGGTCTCCATTGACTTCTACTTGACACCTTCTATTACAATGCTCCCATTCCAGGAATCAGGGAGCTAACATAGAGATTCAGTTCTTGAGTTTATCTCTTCCAACTATATACTCAGTAACTAAGTTGTGGTAGGCATGTGGACACTGGCTCTGAGCTGAACTTAATCCTGGGGCTCAGACACCACTGTGGTGCACTGGTCATGACGGAGGTTTAATAGAAGTCAATGGGAAAGTGGAATTTGGGATTGAGCCCACTTTCAGTGGGCCCAATGAGTCCACAGGTCTGGTAACACACACTGTGGTTATTTTCTCAGTGGGGGTGGTAAAATTGAATCGTCCTGCAAACTGATAGGAGTAGAGAGATTTTGCTTGCCTGGGACTTCTTCAAAGCTTTATAGCTTCAGCAGAGAATGAATTGGGCATCATGTTGAAATATGGTATATATTGTCAACAAAATCCAAAAAAATCTTCCCATTCTATAAGGAGGACCAGGAAATAACTTGATTGCAGTTCAGTTCTATCAGATCTCTTCCCTCCTGCAATAGACACTTATCCTGGGTATAGATTTGCTTTCCCTGCACACCATGATCCTGCCACTATTACCATCCATGGACTTACATTGCCATATTTGCTGCCATCATAGTAAGCCACCCAATATTGCTCTGAAGAAACTTCTTTTATAGGAAAAAATAAGTCAAGCACTGGGTGAATGCCCATGGGATTCTCTGATGTTACCATGTACCTCATTATCCTGAAGCAACTGGCCTTCTAGAAGGGTCAGTCGGCCAATTGAAAACTCAGTTACAGATGCAATTGGGAGACATCATTGTGAGATTGGGTTACTGTCCTACAGGATGCTCTGATCTAGTGAATAACATATGTGGTGGTTTCTCCATAAAGAGAATTACTGGAGTAGAATGGCAGCTCTCATTATTATGTCTAAATCTCACTTACAAATATTTTATTTTCCAATCTCACAGATTTGAGCTTTTGCTCGTTCAAAGATCTCAAGATGAAAAAAAAATTGCCTCCACACAGGGACATAACAATAGGTCCATTTAATTGAATGTGGAGACTGCCACTTGGTTTTTGGTCTCCAAATGCCACTGGGTCAACAGGGAAAAAAGGTGTCACTGCGTGGTGGGATTCTCTCTGATTATCTAGGGGGAAGTAGGTTGGTGGCCTATAATGGGGCTAAGAGAATCACCGGGATTCTCTTAAATGACACCCAGTCCTACCATGGGAGGTGGTAAAAGAAGTAAAAGAAGAGGAGAACAACCCTATAGCAGAAACTGTGATATCACCAAAGTGTTTCCTGTTTCCTCCTAGGCACATGGCTAGATTATAGTGTCCGGCCTGCCCCACAGCTAGATGTGAGCATGTGACTGGGATCTTTCAGTGGATCGTGAGGGAAGCATTATAAGCTGCTTGCAGGCCTAGCCTATGAAAACTTCCCGTGTAATCTCCTGTGCCCTCTTTCCTCTAAAGCTGAGTGCTGAGAATCCCAGGGCTTTAGAGGAGTGCAGAGGTGTAAGACAGCAGGGGCCAGGATATCAGAAGACATCATCATCAATCCAAGGACATTCTCTTTGGGCTTTATTTTAAAAAGGAATAAATGTCTTCTGGGTTAAACCACTGAAAATTTCAGATTTATCTCATAGCAGCTGACATTACCCCCAATAATTACAAACCCCTTAAAAGCACAACTGTCCCACGAGTTAATGGCACACTTCAGAAGAAAGCCTGACCACAAGCCTTTATGCCTGTATTCTATCCAAGAGGAATGCTTTCCGGATGAGGGGATCCAAACAGCAAGAGACCACAAGGAGACCCAAACGCAAAGGTTGGAAGAGGTTGAGCCGGAGTAGATCTCTCACCCTAAGAAACTGCAACTGGGGGACCCTTGTTGGATGCCTGAAACACTCCCACTTGGTTCTCATGGCAGAGCTTTATTTGAATGTCTGCCCACAGATGGTGTTGATGGTCAAGAGACACCACGGCCAGTAAGACAAGAGACACATGCTTCGTCCATCTCCCTCTTCTCTGCACTTGGCAATAGGGTAGAGAACCAGAAGATTGGTGGGAATGGGGCAGAGGGAAATAACTTGGGTCCAACCCACATTCCTGGCACTGCAGCCTGACTGAGGCCAAGGCAGTAAGAGAGGTTGTGGTCAGATCTACGTTGGAACTTCCAACTGGACAGGACTAGCCTGGACTATAAGATAGCAAGGCGACCAGAAAGTTATGGAAGTTGCCCAAGATAAATGGGGTGGGAAAGAAAGACTCAAGAGAGCATGAAAGAATGTAGCAATTGAAGAAAAAGAAAACCATTTCATACTGTTTGACTCTATTAAACACAAGTTAGAGTGACACTGTAGTCACTCACTCTCTACTTTTCACTGTGTGTTGCCAGATGAGCATGGGGAATAATCAGAATGAATCCTAGCATTATGCTTTCTTTTTTTACATTTTTATTTTACTTTATTTTTTTATTATGTTTAGTTAGCCAACATCTAGTACATCATTAGTTTTTTTTTTTTTTTTTTTAAGATTTTATTTATTTATTTGACAGAGAGAGACGCAGCGAGAGAGGGAACACAAGCAGGGGGAGTGGGAGAGGGAGAAGCAGGCTCCACGCAGAGCAGGGAGCCCGATGCAGGACTCAATCCCAGGACCTTGGGATCATGACCTGAGCCGAAGGCAGTCGCTTAACCGACTGAGCCACCCAGGCGCCCAGATCATTAGCTTTTGATGTAGTGGTCAACGATTCATTAGTTGTGTATATCACCCAGTAGCATTATGCTTTCTAATTGTGGGAGAAACTAGTTCATATTAGTAGACAAAAATTGCTGTGTTTTTTTCTTGGCAGTTTGTGGGCTGAGAAGATTGAGGTTTTCATAAGGGAAAGACGGAGGAAGGAGTTCTTGATGGAGCTTCATGGGATATAAGGTGAAGGTGTCATTCACTCAGTATCATATTTTCTGCTCTCAGAATGACCTAAATGATCTGGCTGTGTCCTACCACACTTTGTCTCTAAGTGAAGGTCAAGATGCCTTGGGCGCTGATGTTGGTGAAAATATTCCCTCGCTGCCCTCCATGAACCAATGTTTCTGTCTGGAACATTGTGTTTGCTTCTCCCTTTTTCCCCAGATTGAAGAAAGAATATACAAAGCTGGCGTTTCCTAAAAGTGTGTTCCACAGGAATCTAGTTCCATGGGATCTTTATCGATGCTATGGAGGAAAAAAATTCTGATAAATCACTTGGGTAATTCTGGATTAAACAAAGAGGAAGAGTTTTTTTTCTTTCTTTTTAACCACAGAACTTCTCTTAGCCTTGATGATGCTAAAGTGTGTGGTGGAGCCTAGGACAGAGATCCCAAGAGCACCATTTCACAGACTGCTACATCCATGGACCCCTTTTTTACCCCAGAGGACTGAGTGTTCATCAGCCTATATTTTGAGACCTACTGCTCCAGTTCATTTCCCCTTTTGCTGAAAAATTCACAAGTAACGAATTGATGTGAATAAAAAGAGAAAGACAGTGAAATTCTATTCATTTATCTGAAAGACTATTTGAAGAATTGTCTGTGTTAAAATCACATGCTTTCTTCCTTGGACTAGAGAGAGGGCAGACCGTCCCTTGATAAAGTGAATTTCCAGTGAAACAGGAATGCATGTTTCATCCCAACGCCAAAGAACTATGGATTCCTCTGTGACTCTTCTAATAATATCTTCTGTGCAAGTGAGTTTTAAAATGAATACTATGCATTTGCCTTGTCAGATTTTTCACTTTTCATCACATGCACCACCTTTAAACTGCCCACGTGGATAAGAGAAACAGCACCTGCAAATCACACATTTTGTTATAATCAGAGCAGACCCTAAATTCACCTTACTTTTATTATTTTTATTTTTTAATTTTTTAAAGATTTATTAGAGAGAGAGGAGGGGAGGGGCAGAGGGAGAAGGAGAGAGAGTCTCCAGCAGACTCCGCACTGAACACAGGGTCGGTCAGTCCAATACGGGGCTCGATCTCAAGACCCTGAGATCATGACCTCAGCTGAAACCAAGAGTTGGACGCTTAAGTGAGTGTACCACCCAGGTGCCTCTCACCTTGCTTTTAAAGGTTGCTTAATTAACCATTCATTTATAAATATTGGTTTCCATATACTTCAGGGGGTGCTCTTCTATACCATTTCACATCTTTATATCAATGATTTCTGATGAGCTAAATTTTTAAAAATTCTGAGTATAAATGGAGAAATAATCCTCTTCTGAAATAGTATGGAGATTAGAAATATGGATTTGGTAATCACCTAAAGTATGGGAGCAATAACTAAATCAATTCTCATTATTCAAAAAATAAAATAACTCTAAACTTTGGAATCAGGAAATCTAGTGTCTATTTCTTCTGTGCTTCTAATAAGTTCTGTGGCCGTTGGCATGTTTCCTTACTTTTCTAGGCCTCAGTTTCTTCGACTGTAAAATATGAGGGATGGAGATGATATCCTCTAGGGATCTTTCAAGCTATAAAATTCTATGATTCTGATACTATTTTTTCCCCAAGTTTCCACATTTAGCAGATTTCAATATGTATCTGTCATTGTGATGCCCTGCAGAAGAACAGTTATGATCTCTAGAACCACACATCCATGGTATGTTGAAATAGACGACCTAACTGGAAATATCATACCCCATTATTTTACAAAGGATGGAACCAGCATGGTTCTTCTAACCATCATTCAAAAGTGTGTTTGTGTGTTCGGCTACTGCAGTGTATCATTTTTTCCCCTAAATGTAGATAGAGAAATTAAATGATGACTCAAAATTCAGACTAACCTTTAATTTTTGAATATGCTACAATGCAATTAAGAACAAAATTAGGGAAAAACTGATATAGTCATAGCACAGAGAAGAGGCAAACATTTCTAGAGCTGTGCTGTCCAATACAATAGCCACGGTTACGTGTGTCCACTGAGCACTTGAGATGTCGCTAGTCTGAACTGAGATGTGGATAAAATACATACCAGATTTTGAAGACTTGGTTAAAAAAAAAAAGTAAAATACATCACAAGTAATTTTAATTTTAAAAGTATTGATTTCTTGTTGAAATGATAATACTTTGGATTAAATAAGTAATCCAATTAAATAAAATATATTGTTAAAATTAATCTTAATTGTTTCCTTTTACTCTTTAAAATATGGCTATTAGAAAATGTAAAATTACACATGTGGCTCTTATTATATTTCTAGTGGACAGCACTGTTCTAAGGGATTCTGTCATGCTAATGAAGGGAAAGATGCTTTAGATACCAACAATGAATTCTACTTTATCCCCATAGAAACATGACTCAATATAAGTAGCTCCAAACTTTTAAGTAGTCTCTGTTTCAAATTTTTATGTCACTTTTCTCTCAATTAGAAGGATTTTTTTTTTTTTACATTGAAACAGTATTATGAAAGACTGGTTAGTTTGCCAGCTCAGTTCTATAGCTTATTTTACCTTTAATGCAACTAAAATATTACATATAAGCAATGACACTATTAGGATAGTAATTAAATAAATGAATAAAACAAGAAATCTTGTTTGTTTGTTTGTTTTGATGATTAATGCTGGAGTCAATTCTGTTCAGCCGAGAGAGAAATACAAGGAGATGGAAAACTTCATCGTGGTCCTTCAGAGGACTGTGGGGCATTTTCAAAGATTTAAATCTTTTGTGTCTCTCGTTACTTCAAAAGTCACTGTTTTCATTCCCTTTAAGACCTATGTAATTTGTTCACTTCCTTCTTACTTCTTGCCAATAAACAATTACAGGAATTGTTCTGATATGCAACAGTAAAAACAAAAGAGAAATAGAGGCAGAATTTAGAAAGACTTCTTTCCACTTTCGAAAAGACAACTGAACCATGGGAGCTTGCTCTGAGGTCGGATGTAAGTAGCACAGCTTTGGGGTGGGTGTGGGGACAGACGGCGATTGAAGGCCACTCCTCTATATGGCCTTTATTTCTTTATTTTTTTTTTTTTCCTTTTCCAAGTTTTTATTGAAGTCCAGTTAGTTAACACACAGTGTAATATTGGTTTCAGGAGTAGAATTTAGTGATTCATCACTTACGTACAAGACCCGGTGCTCATCACAACAAGTGTGTATGGCCTTTCTTTAAAATGGTACTTTGCAATGAGTTCATTTCAGTTCTCAGCCTGAAAGCACAGTGTTCTATGATAGCAAGATAATTTCTCCTCTTTAAAAAAGATTATTTATTTATTTGAGAGAGAGCGCGCACCAGCGGGGGCGGGAGGCGGGGGAGCAGAGGCAGGAGAGAGAGAGAATCCACAAGCAGATGCCCTGCTGAGCACGGAGCCCGACATGACAGGGGACTCCATCCCAGGACCCTGAGATCATGACCTGAGCCGAAACACAACCCGCTGGGCCAACTGGCATCCCGAAAATTTTCCCTTTTGATGTTTTTTTTTTTTTTTAATTCTTAAAATGCACAACAGAGCTTGACTACCTTAGAGCCAGCTACCACTACCTGGCAGTTATATCCCAGACTAAAACATCTCCAAATTTAAAGTTTAAGATAATTTAAAAAAATCTCCAATGGCCAGTGACTTAATCAATTATGCCTATGTAATGAAGCCTCTATTAAAAAAATCGATGTTACTTATTTAAAAAATCAAACAGAGGAATATTTGAATAAAGATTTAGGTGGCCCTAAGTTCAGAGCATATCTTTCTCTCCCCCTTCAAGTTTTCAGGGAGGGGAAGAGCCTAGAGAAAAGAAAAGAATTAGCACCTATTGAGCATCTTCTCTGTACCAGGCATTGTGAGAACAGATTGAAAATCTTTGGAAGTTTTAAATATTGCAATAATCCTGCGGGGCAGACGTTCTCATCTCCCTTGACTGCCGAGGAAACTAAGACTCGGGGGTTTCTTAGAAGTTGCATAAGCTGCTCATGTTTGCACAATGAGCAATCTGAGGGTCGGAAATGGTTTCTGGTATCTTATGACTTAAGGGCCCATTTAACTTTGTTGCTTCTTCTGCAGAAGAGAAAAATGTCAGAGGAAGAACACTGTATGGAAGAGAAGAATTGCAGGTGTGGAACATATTTCACATGCAAAGAAATATCGGGAAAAAAAAGTTGAATCCATTCTTTTACCTCTGTCTCGGGAATGAAAAGTCAATTTTTAATTATATGGGTAAGGTTGACCAGGGGCCAACTTATCAAAAATGCCGAGTTCAGGGTTGGAGATTAAATATAAAAAGAGGTTCAATATATTACTATTTGGAAGGAATGAACATCCATATGTAAGAAAGAGACTGGAACCTGTCTGCCTCCAGCCTGCCCTTGACCCTGAGGGGAACAGTGTTACGTATGATCTCTTGGGACAATAAATGAATAGTGAGTGGAGAGCATGATCCAAGGTTTATGCCATATATTCTGAGGTGGTGATCGAGTGTGGGAAATCATGGGGCTATCACCATCTGCTGACATCATCCTTTTTGGGGGCACAGATTTGCTCAGGTCATATAACATCCTTGGGAGCTGGGATCCTGAGGGGTCGTTTTTGCCTTGTGATAACATAGACCCAAAACCCTGTGCCTGATTCATTCCTTTCCAACATGTTTCTGATTGCTAAACATTTATTAAACGCTATTCGATATGCTTACCACCTTGTTCAGCTGCCTTAAATCCTCTCCAGAACAAGACAAGATTTAAATAAACAAACTGGGTTCATTTATTCTTATACATGCTACCTTGCCAAACAGCTATTTTTCTGCATGCTTAAGAATATAAGATGGCTAAATGGCAATGTAGTCTTAAACATACAAATCTAAGTGGATTTCCTTAGAAAAATGAGATAAATTTTGCTCTTTATCATCTTATCAGCATGATTCCACAGTACTCCCCATGCAGCTGAAATCACATTGAATAAGGTACTAACTATGATGAAAGACAGTTAGGGGAGGGAACGGTGCACTGGGACCTTTTCTCCATTCAGATGCTGGGCACAAATATTGACGTGAAATCTCAGCCCGAGAGGCCAGTTTTGCAAATTCTGCTTATCAAAACAGGTTTATTGCCGCCACATTTGAGTGGAGCTAGAGGACAAAATGACACTAGGAGACTGGGGGAGAGGGGGAGGGGATTCCTTCCAAGCAGAGCCTTCCTCTTTATCTGCAAGGTGTCCCAGGAGATTAAAAGCAACAAGACTGGCCGAAGAAGTTGGGAGGGCATCTAATGGTGTTTTGCGGTCGGACAGAGCATTTGGCAATGAGTTCACCACATGGCTGAGCCCGGGAAGGGTTGTGTGCCCCTGAATACTAAGTAGATCAGCTAGAAATTCTCTTTCCCCCCTGCTTCACATCAGCCTCATTCACACTGTGTTCATATCACTTCTTAATTAGGGTAGTATATTATCCTTCAGTGGGTCATTACAAACTATAACCGAAATAAAATTGAGTGATTTGTTTCAGTGAAAGACACCTTGATTGAGGTGGTTAGTAGTAAACTATAAAGTACAGTGAGGATCATTGGTGTGAGCACGATCATTATTTAGCGGTGTCTCAAATTTCGCCATTAATTTTCCTGCGATTAAAGAAATTACTTACATTTAGCCAATTGAGTATAGAAAAGAAAAATCATTTGCCAAAATATAAACTTGCTATTTATACTTAAGCCATTAATAAAATTTATACTTCATAATAAATTGTTACATATTTTTAGACATGTGCTTCTTATGCAAAAACCTGGCAAATGTTTTCTATTGTTCAAAACACAAATGGCAAAAAAAAAAAAATTCTTAGCAATTAGAAACAAAGCTGCAAATATCAATCCTGTTAGTACAAACAACAGGCATAAATTAATACAAATAAGGCAGACTAATGTCCACAGATCCCTTCTTCTGATCAAAGGAATACAAAAACTATAAAACAGGTGTTAAAATAAATTTAACATGTAATATTCTTAATTTTTTAGAATGTCACTAAAGTATAACTTCTTGCATGTGTTACAGTATCTTCTTGGCCTTTCATTTTGGATTTTAAAAAAATATGTTTGGATATGAGATTGTCTTTCATTCGTTCCTTGAAAACAAGAAATTATTTGGTTTTCATTTCTATAAATAAATTACTCATTTGAGGCTTGTTTCTCTAAAATGAAGGGTTTATGCAATCAGTCATGCATAAAATGTGTTATTTTCCCCCACTCAGTCTAGTAGCTGCTTGCAGAGAAATTGTATGAGTAGTTAGTTCTTACTGTCATTACAGAAAACCAGAGACAGAAGAAGAAGGGAGAATAGTAGAAATCAAATACAGGAAAACTCTAAATGTACCATGATGGCAGATAGCAATAAAACTGTCGACTTTGAAATGAAATCACAGAACATTTCCTTATAAATATATGGGCACAGAGAAGCCACACAAATCACAAAATTACTCTTTCGTTGTTGTTGTCTCTGATATAATGTATTGGCTGAAAAGGTGGAATTTTTCTAACTTTCCAATAGAGCCAGAATGTAATTGTCATGTAACTTCAAAACTATAAAGAATGTATATAACTGTCACTGTATATGTAGTTATACATAAAGAGAATGTATGTGTGTAGGCAGGCCTATATACATATGTGTGTTTCTATATGCATTATGTATGTGTCTGTATATATGGAAGTATTACAGATTGTGTATGTGTGTGTGTGTGTATAAAATGTGGGTTAATCATCATTATAATAATAGAGGCTTAAGAAAGACAGCCTGGAGCCTAGAGAAGAAGACATGTTTGTATCTAGAAACTCTGACTAAATACATGGGTGGTGTTGAGGGGAGGGTTGTCACAGAAGTGAAGCAAAGAAGCGGAAACGAAGGAATGCCAATGTTCAGGGATTTACCGTGAGATCCCTGTAGAGTAGACAGGGAACACAGTGCGGGATTGGAATGTGATTCCCGATCCACTTTCCCTTTCAGATAAGATTCTGACTGGAAACATTAGGAAAATAGGATCTTAGTTCCTATTATTTGGTGTCATTAGTCTGTGGATACTTTCCCATTTTCAACCTGTAATAATTTTGCTAAGTTTAAAGATATGACTTAATTAGCAGACACATATACATTCAATATATGCGATAAGACTCTGAAGTTATTACACAATCCATTAAAAAATACAGACATAGCCCTTGAATTTTATCCCAACATATAGAAACATACAAATTCACGTATTTCCTTTTCTGGAATTGTTTTAGTATAATCTTTGTGTGTATTTAGGAACCTAATGTGTCATAAGTTTTTGTTACAGCATCAGACAAGGTAACATATTAACAAAGAATAAAAATATACTCTTAAATACAATTATTATTAGGTTGGAGGTTTATACATTTCTAGACTTTAAAATATAGTATTCTGTCAAAATATTTATGAAGAACACACTGTAAAAAGAATAGCATTACGAAAAAGAAATTTTGAGATATTAACTATCACCATAATTTTCCATTTATTTTAGAGCCATCAGAATCGAAAATTTAATAATCCAATCATTTGTTGAGAATTATTTTTGAGTTCCTCTTATGCCCTAGACAGAAAGTCCTGCCTTGTGGGGTTTACATTCTGGTGGAGGAGACAGACTATGAATAAGTGGATGGATAGGTAAGTAATACATTTTGGATCATGGATAAGACCCATAGAGACAAAATGGACAGGACAAAGGGATACTGAGTTACAGACAGTGAGGGGTGGCTCTTTCATATAAGGGCAAGGAGGGCCTTTTTGTGAAGAGACTGGAATCATGATGAGCCACTCATGGGAAAAACTGGTGGAAGTTTCTTGTAGAGGAAACAGCAAGTACCATGTCCAGAGGAGGAAGCAAACTTCCAGCATCTTAATAAAGCAAGGCCACTAGATGGTGAGATGACCAGAAACTGTAATGAGTAACAATAAGTAATAAGGAAATAGGATAAACAAAGTTTGATAATTTTACAACACATTTCTCCTCTCTTAGCTTTTGTACTTTAAAAGATTACTATTTTGGTATAAACTATACTCCTTAAAATATACCGTCTCTCGGGGCACGTGGGTGGCTTAGGTCATGATCCTGGGGTTCTAGGATGGAGCCCCACATTGGGGGGGGGTCCTTGCTCAGCAGGGAGTCTGCTTCTCCCTCTCCCTCTGACCTTCCCCCCTGCTTGTGCTCTCACTTGCCCTCTCTCTCTCTTTCTCAAATGAATAAACAAAAAAGTCCCTCTGTATGTTTGTGTATATGTATTTATATGTGTGTGCAGCATGTGTGTGTATGTGTATGCATGTGTATATATATAAACACATCTATGTATGCATGTATATGTATATTCATCTGTTTGTTTCATGGTAAGAATACGGCATAGTAGACTTTGGGTTGCCTGGGTTTGCATCCTATCTCTTCTGTGTTCTGGCTCTGTGACCTTTGAAAGGTTATTTAGCCTCTTTGTGCCTCAGTTTCCACGTCTGTAACATGGAGATTATTAAAGTACCGACTTCAGAGGGATGCTGTGAGAAGGAAACGAATACGTGTAAAGCTCTTAAACAGTGCCTGGCACAGAGTGTATGTGGCGTAAGTGCTATGTAAGTGTTATTTAGATAATTTCCTCGACAGCTGACATTTTATCCAAATGAGTAGAATATAGTGTAATTATTAATTCCAATTTACATTCCCACAGGCAAAATCAATAGTCAAAAACCTTGACTTGACATTTCTTCATTGGCCTCTCATGTAGTTGGCAAACTAGTTCGAAGTTTCATTTATTTTTGGAATATTTCAAGCTTAAAGGGGAAACCTCTTCTGCTTCTAAATTGGGGCAGTCAAAAGTTCCTGTCCTGGATAGAAGGTGCAGCCAAAAATGTTTTCTAGAGGATAAGGGTGCATTAAATGTGTGTCCACTTGAGGGAGCTCCAAGATCTCTCCGAAGCCCTGGTCTTGTTTCTTCAGCCCTGGGACCTGGTGCCCATGATACTGGGCTTGGGTTACATTGATGGTGGAAGGAAAAATTTATACGTCCAGAGTTAAAGTTTGGGGGGAAAAAAGTGTCAGGTAATAAAACTGATAATTATTTTACTGTTTTCCAGTTATGTATTTAATTGAGGGGAACAGAAACACTTTTTTTGAGAACTTCAAACAGCTCAGCTGGAAGCATAAGAATTAGCATAAAGTGAAATATTTATGGGAGCTTAATACTGTTTAAGACTCATTTTCTCCTTGCCTTAAGACATGACGTCAAATTAACCATTTCTAATTAAAGAGTTGGAAACAAAGTAGAGGGAGACCAGAAGTAGAAGCTAAATGGTAATGTCTAAGTTGTGAAGTGTGAAAAAGTCATTTGACATAGAGGTCAAGAATGGGAAGATAGAAAAGAGTTTCTGTAGAAGAAGAGAAACAAATCAGAGTGATTTAAAAAATATATATAATTATGGCAGGCTTACTACAACTCCTTCCTGCATGACTATCTTTCCTTTTAGGACAGAGTTCTAAAACTGGACATGATAATGCCCCTTTGTCTCTCTATGTTAGTAGTTTGGCTACGAAGAAAGCACACACGCAATATTCAAAATGAACTGGGGATTGCTTTGAATATGATTCATGGGAATTCTGGCCCAAAGGAACAGCCAACTATTAAGGATATTGAAAAG